TCAAGGCGTGGCCTCACCAGCACCGAGTACAGGGGCACGATCACTTCCCTACTCCTGCTGGTCACACTATTTCTGACACAGGCCAGGATGCCATTGGCCTTCTTGGCCACCTGGGCACACTGCTGGCTCATATTCAGCCACCTGTCAACCAGTACCCCCATGCCTTTTTCCACCAGGCAGCTTTCCAGCCACTCTTCCCCAAGCCTGTAGTGCTGTATGAGGTTGTTGTGACCAAAGTGCAGGACCCGGCACTTGGCCTTGTTGAACCTCATACAGTTGGTCTCGGCCCATCGATCCAGCCTGTCCCTGTCCAGGTCCCTCTGCAGAGCCCTCGTCCCCTCAAGCCGATCAACACTACCACCCAGTTTGGTGTTGTCTGCAAATTTACTGAGGGCACGCTCAATCCTCTCATCCAGGTCATTGATAAAGATATTAAACAAAACCGGCCCTAGAACTGAGCCCTGGGGGACACCGCTTGTGACCGGCCGCCAACTGGATTTAGCTCCATTCACCACAACTCTCTGGGCTCGGCCATTCAGCCAGTTTTTAACCCAGTTTTTAAAGAGCTATTAAAAATCATGCAAAATTCCCTTTACTTCCTCTCAACACACCAGATAGATAGAGAATTACTCTGTGGCATGTATTATGCGACATTTTGGATAGAAGCAATCAGGAGTACCACATCTAAAAGGGATAATTAAAAGGGAGGAAAAAAGGAGCAAAGAATCCTGATTTAAACCTTGGCAATTCCCACATGACAATCTGTTTTGAGAAAACATCCATATCAGCTTGGAGTAATGCAGATAAATTTTTACAGTTATTCTAGTACAGGTGACAAAAATAAAATCCTCACAAGCAAAAGTGACAGATTTCACTTATTAGGTTGATAAAAGCTGCCTAACTAATCTAATATTTCTAAAATTTCCAGGGACACCTTTTTAATGCTGCACATATTTTGTTTTCTAAAATATTACAAGCTTCCTTTTAATGCAAGTGAGTCAAGCACAGCCTCCAGAGCATTTTGGCAATTTTACATAGTTAAAGTACACAACAGAATGATTTTATTAACTCAGCTTCATACCCTCTAAGACTAATTTCTGTCATCTTCTACATCAGATCCAGAGCAGTATTTATTCTCCATAGCACATAACATCCATTCCATGCACACAGTTATCAGTGCAGTAAGTTCTCTTGCATGTTCCCTTGGACCATCTGAAAATCATTGCTTAAAAAGGGCATGATGGGATTCATAAAACCTAATATTCTCCTTCAAGAAACACATAATGGCAATAGAATGGAAAATTACCAAGAGATGGTCGGTCATTTTTCTCCGGTTGTCCATAGCAGCTAGTTCTTGCTTCAGGAATGAAGGAGTATTTCTCCAGCATGGCTGATGCAGCAGTCGCAATAATCCCAAGGCCATCCCGTACCCGAGCTTCTAAACTGTAGTCCCATTCATCATAAGATGCTGAAATGAGTCCTGAAGGAAACTCCTTGGGAGTGATTTCTGTGTTACCACTAACAAGGCTGGGAACTATCCAAAAGAAATCATAGCCAGTAAGGCCCAGGGAACGAGCCTCATCCAGTATGTAGACAGCTTCATCCTTGGAACAATATAGCAGAATGACGGATGAATGAATTTTCTTCAGCTGAATTTGGGTCTTGGCATCTCCGAAGGCAGTATCAAGTACAATGACGTTCTGCATGTCCCAGCCCACAAAACTATTTTCCACTGTGGTCTTAATGATATTGATGAAGTCTCGATACCCAGGAAAGGTGGTGGTCACCAGAGAGAACACGTGCCAGTCATAATCCTGCATGATCTTCAACATGACAAGGGCTTCTTGCTGGATGGAAGCCCCAAACTGGAAGAACGTGGACATCACATCCTAGAATACCAAACACAGTGAAAGATTACTAATTTTGTACAAGTCTGAAGGGAATAGAATCTCTAATTCTTCTGCTCTCTTCGGTCCACCATGGCTACCAAACCTTCACTGCATTTGAATAACTTTCTGCGCCTTATCATATTCATATCATTAATAAGCAATACTACTCTAAGCACCACAGCTAATTAAAAGATTTGCCAAAGAGAGACAAACAGATATTTACATTGGAAATGTCTGTGTGCTTGATCATTTGAAGACAACAACTCAAAACAGTACTTACTGATCTCCCTAGAGACAGCCACCCATCATTAAACAACTCATCTCCAGCAGGTAGCTTTAGATGCATCAAACTTATTAAGAATGTGACCCAATACATTTATACCAATAAATTGCAATGCACATGCCGTATATATATGAAGAAACTCTGTACCTCCAGACCTGATGTCTGAGGGATACTTGATTTCCACAGGTTCATTGGACTTGGTGGAAGCTGTCAAACTCTGCAGAAGTAAATTTATCGTCCCCAGGTACTGAATTCACCACTGTTTGTGGGCTCACTACTGATCATGCTCCATTCAGAGCACATGGCCCAATAAAGCCTGACGTAGAATTAACAGGTCTCCGGGACAACCAGGAAGCTGCCAGTGTCCTCATTAAAGGACTTAAATGGAAGCAAATGCAAAGAAAGACCTCATGGTCTGTAACTGGTAGCTGTATTGCCTGACACAGCTCTGCTGTCAGTTTGCTAGGAGGCTTGTTTCTAATATTTTTCTTACGCTTTCACAGTATTCATAACATTTTATACAGCATAAGTGCAGGTGCCTCTTATCTTAACAAAATCTACCAGAAATAGACAACACAATAATATATTTTGTTGGCACTAAACTAACAAACACTTTTCCTGGTCTATTTTTACCAAGTTGATGTAAAATCTAAATTTATTTTTGGATTTTACCTTCTAGTTTTATATACATCACAATTATTAGAGTACCAAAGCTGTACACAAGAAGCTATATAATTATTTTCATTTTAATTCAGTATTTATTCCTGACCAGTAGTGGCAACTTATGTGCATAATTTTCAGATACAGAAAGCATGAAGAAAAGCTTATGAATTAAAAATAAAGATTCAATTAGAAAATAAAATAAAAATTCAGTATTTTTAATGCAGCCTTTACAGGAAAGATACACATGGTGCTTTTAATTTAAAGAGTTTAATGAATGTGTTTGCAAACTGCTATCCTATATTACACTTGTGGGGAACAGAAACAGATTAATTGATTTAGGCTTCCTAGCAAGGTGGTGTTAAACATACAATTATTAGTGACAACAGTAACTCACCTCTACAAATTCTGTATTTTATATATGGAAAACTATTCAGAGCAAACAGAGTGTCTGTATTTTTTTTAATAGAAGATGAGGAGCATTATTACTTACTAAGTGTTAAGAACCTGACACCAGGATTTTATATAGCTTGACAGCAATAAAAGTCTTACAACTTGAGTTAGACCAACCATGAAGACTGATATTGAAGGTACAAAACACACACTACTGGTGGTAATGAAATCATCTCCCATAGCTTCTTTGGTACTTAAAAGGCAGCATTCTGAATGCCAACGCCAGATTTGCAGTGGTTCTGAGTTAATTACAGATGTTATACAACATATTTGGGAGAAGAATTGAATTGGGAAGATCTGATTGCTGAATGCTTCAAGGAGCCATTTCCTGGTGACCTGCACTGCATACTTAAAAATAGACATACAAACAAGTGAGCTCTTCATCTGGGGACATTTAAGCTAAAGAAACCCAGCAGACAGAAAATCTGCCGTCAGCACGGAATGGTTTAGTTACCGATTTACTATTACAAAGTAATTTAGTTGTCTAGAGACAGTGCTAGGATCCAAGTTTTCTGTAGCTTGCTAAGTGAACATAACAGAATATTGTAATGCAAAGTCAGTCACTTCTCCAGGCTCTTACCTTATCCTGGTTTTTACTTGTGATTATGCTAAATAACAGTAAAAATAAGTAAAATAATTTACAGTAAATTAAATAGATTATTTCCTTCATATCCTTTCACTCTACCCCATTTCTAAATATGGTTTATGGCTACTAATGTAGTGGAATAATTCTTTCAAGCAACATGTACATCTTGGTCCTTTGTGCATCACAAGGAACTTCAACAATGCAGTCTGCAAGGGCAAAAAACAATGCACGTGGATATTTCCAAGCATGACCTTTCTAATTAGTAAATACAGATTTTTAACCTAGAGCAGTCCTTGTCAACTTCCCTGGCCATGTACAACAGCCTTGTGCACAACTGCTTCTATCACCATTATAGCGGTCTGACAACACCAGTACTAAAACTAAATCCTTTCCTTTTCTAAACATTTTGTTAAAAAAAAACAGTTTATGAAAGGAGTTTTGATTAAATATTTTTGTAAAATTCACACCCATACTACATTAATCCTTATTACGTAATTGTGAACGTGAACTTTAGTCAAAATCAGGCAATTAATACCAACTTGTGATCAGAATGGTGAAAAAAAATGTAATTATATGGTGAAAGTAAGCTTGGGTTCAGGAAAAGATACAAATATCACAAGCGAGATTCTCATCTGAAGAAATTCCATGTAGCTCCACTGACTTGATGTGATGCTTTTATAGAGCTGAAGACCTGACAGTATGTATTTACAATGAATTTGAAACAGATGGAAGATTACAAGCAAATTGTAGCCTTAGGAACTTCAGCAGATATTTAAATGCCTATAAGGAAAATATTCAAGGACATATTATCCATTAAGTTGGGGGGAGGGGGGGAGAGAAAGTTTAGTGAAGAAACAGCAAATAAATAAACAAACCTATAAGGGATTCAACTATTGTATTCTTAAACATCTGCAGAACTGTTCATTTTGGGGTTTTTAAAGCTTTGCATTCTTCCCAAAAAGCATTATTATTCCTCTGCTTTATACAGACAGAGCATTTTATTACACATATAGAATTTAAGTTCTACTTTTCTACATTCAAAAGCAAACTAAGCGATGTTTGTAAAAAACACAAAATTATTCAGTTATTTTAATTTAACTGTCATCTTGACATCTATCAAGACGTCGATCTAAGTCATTGCTGAAGTAAGAATGCAAGTGTAATATTGGAGGTGCTTTAAATGCACATCAGAAATATGTTCCTTTTCTTTCCTCAGTGGCCCATCTATTGAGATTATTGGTGGAGGATGCAAGGAAGCTGCACCACTACCACTTAGCCCATAGAAGAAACTTTATACAAAGGAGTTCCACAGTTAAATCTCAAAGCATGAAAATCCCAAGATGTTACACTGATATGAGCAAAAATTTAGTTAGAAGTAGTGCTGGAAATTATTAAGTAAAGCTTTATCTGACTTCTCTATTCTAGCTTCTTAGCTGGATGCTACCACAGCCATGTAAAAAGAATGGCAATGAAGAGAGAAGGAAAAGAACAAATGAAAACTTTTTGTTTCTTTCTGTCTTGCACATGAACATACAGCTTATAGCAAAACATGTCCCCATATGTTTCACACCAGAAGGAGGTAATCTTTCAATTGCTTCTTGCTTAACATCATTCTTGAATTCTGTACACAATATAAAATTCTGTCATTACAGGAGAAGGGCACTTCAGCGTTCCCATGCTAGTGCACAAAACAGAGGCACTCTCTGGTGCTGTCATTTTATAGATTAATATAATAGAGCAAGTTGCTTTTTAATTAGTGTACCGAGTCTATGAATCTGCCCCTGTTGTCAGAATTGCACATTTCACTTCCCTAATTCCAACAAATTACAGGAATACTTCTCTCAAAACCTCACCCTCAGCTATTTTCATGACATCTTGGTTTCCCAGCCCCAGCTTTTCCATGAGATCAGCAGGGCACATTCACAGCTGCTGTAACAGCTGAGGTAAGCCCTGGCAGTAGTTTACGCCTACTAGGGAAAAAGCTGCAATAGTAGGTTAGGTAAACATCTAAAATAGAGTACCTTTTGTTAAATGAGAATGAAATGCTAAACCAAAACAAAATAGGGGTCAACATCAATTTTCCACTTGGTAGACTTGTTGAGGACAGTTGTTTCACTGGTAAGACAATATTATGACAGGAAGCAAAAACCAATATGAAACATGGTTTAAAAAGCAATCCAGAGGATGCTTTTATGCAGCTAGAAACAAGATTATTATTGACAGGACTACAAGTAGGACTTTAAAGTTATCTTAATTACTTCATTCTTACTCACTCTGTATCTTCCACAGAGATCCAGCAAAAGTGATTTTTCTCCTACTTTACACCACTGTAAGTTAGATATTCCATTTTTATAATGGCTTTAAGGCATGTGGTACTAGGTCTACATATTCAGCGCAAACTGTTTCCTTTTTAATGAATTATAGTAGTTATTTGGCATTTTTATGAAGACTGGAAAAATTGAAAGCCAGAGATTAGTCATGAATTTAAGGTGAATAATTTAGCATCACATCAAAAATATACAGAAGGAAATTATTTGTACTATTCTCAAATGTAGGTAAATAATGTATCTTGCAGTGTGTTAACTTGATACCATTTTTCTTGGATTACTTGAAATGATGTATTGATCCGCTGGTAAACATGAAGTGAATCGTGTTTATCTGTCATGAATATCTAGGTTTCAGCCATACGGTCTTCCTTTGTGGTACTATACAGACCCATGCAAAAATTTCAGTAAATGCAGCCACTGAAGTGGAGAAGCTGAAAGGAAAACCTTTCCTCCCAAGATACCCTGCACATTTCTAAACTCTTAAGTTATTAAATCCTGCCTCTATTCATTAACAGTAACATGCAATTCCCAACACAAACATCTCACTGAGGCACCCAGTGACAAAACTCCCCCATTATCACCATGGGAGCAATTTGGGGGAAATTATACAAAATTATGTACTTTCATGCAAAGCAGAGCAACATGTGAGGGTGGAAATAATTTACTAATTATTACAAACAGCAGAAAAGAC